TGTTCAGGCATGAATTTGGTTTTATGCTGTATGTTTAATATCAAAGTGCTTTATAAAATAATACTAATGGTGCAATGACCACACAGTCAAACAGAGCTACCTGACTTGAATCAAACTGGATACACACATAAGAGCTGAGGCATCTCTAAAGAGCTTTGTGAGCATCAGCAAGCTAAACGTAGCCCATTGATTTCCACACATGTACTATACCTGACCTACAGCACTTTAAACATCTCTGAATTATATTTTAACAGGCAAGAAAAATGTTTACAGTATCCTTCCATTTAAGAGCAAATGCTGAGGATTTCTAGTATAATTAGTACACCTAGCATTTACAGAGAGGTTAAGCCTGCCAGACTTTCTGAGTGTGCTTCTCACCAAATAGAGCCTCTTCTCAGCTCTTACTGTAATTAGCAGGGATACAAAACAGCCCGAATAACAAGAGAAAAAGACAGAAATCTAGACCCTCTCTTTTCACTGAACATTTGTGAGCATTAAATAATTAGGTGAGATAGCTTAATATTCTCCTAGTATTTAACCTAACATTTAGCTTAAAGGCATAAAAAAAATAATTGCTGGAAGGAAATTTGAGATTATGCATTAGCTATGGTAATCCTTTTCTTATTGTATATAATTAAACTCTTTAAATGCACCATTAGATCTTTTATACTCACCAGCCTGCATCAGGAGTGTAACCCTCTATCACTTAACTAATGCCTACAGAAGGACTCAATGCCAGGGCCCCATGTACCCTGTTGTTCCCAGAAAAGGGGGGCAATGGCATCAGTTGGGCATCACATTTGGGAAGTGTAATAATGCTGAAATAATGCTGCTTTCTGTTTCCTCCTTACCTGTTTCTAGTACATGACAGGTCATCACCTGGATTGCCTATGCTCCTGGGGCTATCATTCTGTGTGGTACTGATCCTGGCTGCAAGTCTCTTCTACGCCAGCATGAAACAAGATACCAAAGTCCTGGAGGAGTTTCAATCCCGACTTGTTATCTTCTTTCTTCAGATAAGACACATCGCTCATAAATGCTGGACTTGGTTTACAAGGTAGTAGCGATGTCCTCCATTTGCAGGAAGGCAGCATTGATAACCACCACATGTCAGAGTGAATGTCCCAGCCCACATTTAAGGAACACATGAGTATCCACCTCGAAGAGCAAAAAAAAAAAAAAAAACAAAAACAAACACCACCCATTTTGTGCACTTTCTAGTATCTACTTTTTTTTTTTTTTTTAATATTTCTGAATGATTGTAGTAGCACTACGAGGTCCCACCAAACTGATGCTCCATTATCCTTAACAGCAAACGAGGGTCTGAATTTTGTCCCCCGAAGAGATTATGAACTGCTGCTATGAGGAGCAAGGCCAAAGAGAAATTTATTGACCTGTGCACGCAGAAGCACATTGAAAGAATTCTCCCGAGTCTCAGGTCAAAGAATTAAATACCAAACCATTTTTCTCCTCAAGCCTCCTAAGAACTAGTCCGCAAAATTTAACATAAAGCTGAACTACTGCACAAACACTGCTCTGGTGGCCAAAGTCTTGGCAAGCTGCTATATTTATATACCTGAAATGATTGCTAGTAGAATATCAGCAAATGGTTTTCTCATTTCCCTTTATGCTCCCTCCCCCCCGTGGGCAAAAGCAGTTTTTTAATGTTTCACTTGACTCCCAGGTGTGAAAAATAACATGAATAGTCATTTAAATACTAAACAGTGCAATTGCCTAACACAATACAGAGCAGCATTGAATCCCAAGTTAATTACCAAATCAGAACTTAATCCTCTAGGTTTGATTCCGTTCATAAACCCAAAATTTATGGTTGTATTTATCTTCAGTGGAAGCTTTCACATTTATGCCTGCATGTTTAATGGTATTATAGACTGTTCACGAAGGTGTTTGGTCAAAGCCCTGTTATCCTCTGTTGTAGTACCATACAGTGCCTCTCTCTGGAGGGAACCAAGCATATGCAATCTTATGAGCTTCAGCTATGTTTTGTTCTTAGAATCACAGAACTGCTCAGGTTGGAAAAGACCTTCAAGATGAAGTCAACCACAGACAGAAACAGCATGATTATTTTCCAGGCCCTAGGTTCTTGTCAAGTAATACTTGATACATGTATAAGGGTGATGGTGACAGCAGAGCCCATAAAAGCTGTAGAAAAGAAAGAAAACTGTGGAGAAGAGGGAAGAGATGTCCACAAGACCTTGGCTTTAACTCCTCCACCACAGTAATGCACCAAAAAGAAAAAGCTTTATTCCTAATTGACTTTCAAAAAAAAAAAAAAAAAAAAAAAAGCAAGCTTATCCAGGCAGCCCAAAAATTTAAACCAGACAGAAGGTAGAAGAAAACCAATTAACAGAGCCTTCACATAGAGCAGAGTGGCAAGTTGACAAATAACGAGTACCAAAAAATATATATATATTTGTAGCTATTAAGAACTGACTTGGGCAGATATTCTCATGCTGTGAAGGCAGAAGCAATTGCATCTGGGGAGCTGCTGGTCTGGAACACAGAGGGCACTGCAGGAGCATTTGGCTCAGTGACTCTATGCAAAAGACTCATGCACTCCAGCTCACAGGGTAAGTCCCCTGCGGCTTCCCTGCCTTCCCTCCACTCACCCCACTGTTGGGATAATAAAGAAGCAGTTTTAAACTTGTGTAAACTTGTGGCTTTTCCTGAAGAGTCAGTTCCTACACTGCAAGCTGTGGTATATTGCAATATAGAAAGGCAAGGTCTGGCTTGACAGGAGCTGGGTCACTTTGAGAAGGAGAACAGTACCGCAAACCTCTTGTGTGCTTTCACCTGGTTTCAGTAACTTGAAAAAAAAACAAAAAACCAAAGGGATAAAATTAACCAGGAACTCTTTTTAGGACTGCAAGAGATGATAGGAAATTCATATGCATGTTCATATGCATGGGGCCCACCTTCTTCTAGCCATGCTTGAGGTGGAAAATAACCACGCTGACCTCGCTGTGTCCAAGTTTATCAGTGTGAGAGGCCCACCCTGAGAATGGCTATCACAACCAGGTTGTCAAGGGAAATTAAGCAGGGGAACAGCTATTCCTAGCTCTGGCTGGTACAGCTTTGGGTACAGGCAATATCAGCACTTGAGTTGCCTGCAGCCTCCCGAAGTTTTTGGGAAGCTTCCTGGGCCAGGATTCTTTGCTGCAATCCAGTCAGGTATTTGGCAAAATGCAGAGAGCCAAAATAATGCATTGTAGAGTACCACCAAAGAGCCAGAAACAAAAGCTAAGATCTGTCCCTGGGAGAGCAGTGACCTTTTACAGCTGAAGAATCTGCAGCTGAGAAAGCCAGTGCCTCTGTGCAAGTGAATGAAGCAAGTCAATAGCCAGAATGGAAATAGAAGTAAAAATCATGACCTCTGGGCCTGCCTTTAATTACCAGTGCACAACTCCACTGTAGACTTACCTGTTTTATTTTCTCCTCACAGTGAAGCACTTGTACCCTCCAACCATTACACACAGCACCCTTCTCACGCTCTGCTCTTTATCCATCACACATCTATGCATACTGCTGTGAGCTGGATAGGATTTCTCCTTGCTCTTGCTCAACACTACTTTCTTAGGTGTGACACCTTGGTGAGTTTGAAGGAGATGACCTCTGAATTTATACAGATTGGGTTGTGTTGGTTACTGTTTCCCTTGCAGGCTGTGCTGGGTAATGTTTTCCTCCAGTAAGACTCCTGAGAATTGCTTTATAAAGTGGAAAACAAAAGGAGAGGACTACACAGTTTGTAATAAATAATCAGAAGTGTTAACATGAATTCACTGTGGTGCCAACATGAAGACTAACTAAAAGCCAGCTATCTGAGCAATTGTCTAGTCTAGCTTGGAAGTGTCTTTTTTTTTTTTTTTTTGCCTCAAATTGCAGAGAGGAGGGACATACTTTCACAGCAAGTTTTGAAGAAGGCTGCAAGAAAGCAAGCTTACCATGAGCATTGTCTGGATTGGCAAAAACCCAAGGGACAGAAGAGAGCACAGAGTTCTGCCCTTAGGCCTGTTTTCATACACAGAAGTGCTCCCTATTATCCCCTATGCAATGGGAGTTAAATTCATGCATAGCAGGAATCAGCAGAAGGTAGTGTTGTTTTGACAGTGTGCAGCGCATTCCTGCAGCAAAAACAGAAGGCAGCTGCCAGCACCCTCTTCAGGCAGGCTCACCCCATCAGCACCACCTGATTGCACTAGCTGGCATAGCCATACCCATATGATTACAAGGAGGTAGAAAAGCACACAGTGAGATGACACTTGATTTTTTTTTTTTTTTCCATTAACCTCTAACACACTTTGCATTCACATTTACAGCCCCAAAGTCTGCTCCTAGTTCTACTCTATTACTTCACCTCTCCAGCACTGAGTCTCGAAACAAGGAGCGCAAGCAGTCTGTGGCAGCATTTTCAGTTGTTTCTGCCTTTCACCACTTCAAAGTAAGCAGAAGGTCAACAGCATGTGGCTACAAAAAAAAAAAAAAAAAAAATTGCAGCTACCTTAAGAAATAACTGAGGAGCCACCAAGATAATGGAATGGACTCCTTTATTTCTTTCTCCACAGTGGCTGTTGGGATTATTTAGTCTCACTTCTGGAAAGAAAGGCTGCTGTTACAGAAATTAGTCAGTTGACAATTAGAAAATGAACCCCCCATGCAACCTGCAGTAGCTCTGTACACTTGTTAACAAGCTGACCTTCAGCAACACCCTGACACTGGATTATCTTCTCCTTGCTTTCTATAGTATTAGAGTTCATTGCTGGAAGATGGTGGAAGGGCTCAGTTTAGGAGATTGGTCATGTCCTTGACCATGGGAGCTGCAGCAAGGAGATTCCAGGGAATGAGCGCACTGACCAGGGTGCCTCCATATTTTTTATTTTTATTTTTTTAAACAAATTTCAATTCCCCTTCAAAAAAAACAGGCACAGAAATATAACTTTTCAAATAGTTTATTTGTATATATCAACAAATCATAAAAAGCCAATGCACTGTCCAGCAAAAAGCATCAATATATAAAACACACTTGCTATCAGTTATACTTGAGTACACCACTTACACTGAACCCAGTCCAGCTCCCTACTAAAGCCAAAGGAAACACTGTCAATGACTCCATTAGCAAAAGGATTGGACTTTCAATTTCTATTTGCCAGGTGTTTACAAATGCTTGCATTAAAATTATACTAGTACAAAGTTCCCCCTTTGAGACTGTATCAAAACAACAATAAATTTAACTCCAATTCTGTTTCTGTCAAATGCATGCAATTAATGTTCCAAATCAGCACTTATTACACTGCAGAAGAGCATACAAAGCATGAAAAACAATATTCAAAACAGAGCAAGCTCTACCCTCAGCTTGTGTGGGCTGGCACAGCTCCAGCAAGGCTTACAAAGCTAAGCTGCGTACACCAGCTAAAGATCTGTCCCAATCCTACTTTCAGCAGTTAAACAAATTGTCAAGATCTGGAGACCTCAAAAACAAATTATGAAAACCTGAGTGTTCCAAGCTGAGGCTGAATCTGGAATTAGCACTGTCAGCCCAGGCTCTGCCACACTGGATCCCTCACGTCACAGCCCGAATGCCGAAATCCCTCACAGGAAGAATACTAACAGTTCTCATTATCTATTTTTATTCTGACTTACAGCACTCTACCCCCTTTAGCTGTCCTTGTTCCTGATAGGAAGAGATACAAGAAACAAGGCCTGATTAGCCTGGTGGCAATAAAACTCTAATGTTTCCAAGAATGTTTTTAGAGAAGAAAGGATTCATGGGAAGGAGATGTCAGTGGAACTAGATTATTACTTTTCTTTGTAAACCTGCAAAAACCTTTTAGCAGCACACTTTAGATCATGATATATTCATTTCTCAAGAAAGCTGAAAAAGAGCAGTAGTTGTATTCAGGGATCATTTGAGAAAAATCTCTAGTGGCACCAATTTACTGTGGATGTGGTCCCACTGCAGTGGTCTTGTAGTCATTCACCAAAGAACTGCTTACATCTCCTAAAAAACATTCATTTGAGGAGACTGTCAGCATCTTTAGAAACCAAATGGTGATCACATTGAACAATGAGGATTTAAATTATTGCAGTGGTTAATCAACATCAAGATCCAGTGTGCTACAGAAGGATGTGCTGTATCTCAGACACAAACTGTTGCACTTTGCAGTGTTAAACAAGAAAAAAAAAAATTCCTTCTGCTGTGGGACTGAATGAGTGAAGTGTTCTGTTCCGTGTTATGCCGTATACCATGACAGGATTTTCAAACATCTCCCTGCTGTAAAATCTATGGATTATCATCCCACTCATCTGATTCCACCAGGTTGCTTAAGGGAATGCTGGCACCAATCTTGGTAATCCTTTAGAGCAAGGTGTCAGCCAAATCAGGCCTGGCTTGTGTAAAAGGAAGGGCTTGGCACCAAACCTTGAGGTTTCCAAATGAGAATAGCAAAAAGCTGAAGTGCTTTTTATTTCTCTAACAAATGGAAAAGTCTGCCATAGGAGCTGCAATTTCTCTTACATTCTAAATAGTGTTCAGAAGCTGTACACAAACTGGAGTCAAACATGCACAAATCTGGGGGGAAAGGAGTGGAAAATAACGACTTTCACCACAAGGTCATATATCCACTTATGTAAGAAATCATCCAAGGAGTCAACAGCAATGATGGATCTTCATTCCTACCTCCTGGCAGGGCATCTCCACCCTCTCTTTACACCATAGACAGGTGGAAAAGAGGAACAAAAATACCTCACATTGCGTTCCCACCATAAACAAGTAATTCAAGCTATTTTGGCCAATTGCTCTCACTGCCAGGTACTTTATCTCCTTGATAAACACCATCACCACTAAAGTGTCATTTTCTATGACTTTCAAACCAGGCAGAAAAATTCTAACAGGAAGACTCCCCAGGCAGTAGGGAAGCTAAAGCTGTGCCTTGCAGCTCCTTGCCCATGGGGAGTGCTGGCAGTGACTGCTACAGCCCTTCTAATACTTGCTCAGTGCTACCTACAACCGCTATGATATACAATATTAGGAGTAACACAAACTTTCATGTCTAAAGAACCACCATTGCTGCTGTTTTTGGTGAAGTAATAAATAAGCATTATTTGACTAATCTAAACAGCTAATCTCACTGCCTTTGGGTTTCTATGTCCATTTTCTAGGAACAAGGAACTGAATTTAAAAATCCAAGGAAGTTAAGAGTTAAGTCGTAAATCCTTATGCTATCTGTGAAAATAGAATTTAAGCTTTTACAGATATTGCATGTAACAGCCAAAAGAACTGAATACCACTTCAAGCAACTATAGCAGGTATGAGAGGTAGAAAGGTTTAAGCACTCAGGTAAATACATTCACATTAAGCTATGTTTGCAGTATCAGTTCAATTCTACTCTTTGGCACGGACTACAGAAACAACAAAAGAAAGTGTGGTTATATAAATACTCCTCCAGTAACAGAATGGAAAAATGCTATCATTTACATCCCTGCCTTGAAATAAGCAGTACTAGCTATCTATTAAGTAAACTGCTGTCTAACCTCTCAGAAAAAAAAACATTTAGAGAGTACAGTTGCTTTCTTCCCTTTTTATGCCAAGAGCGCATCAAAGTGCTGCATTTTGTAAAGCTGTTATATTCAGAAGTTGAGTGGAAGGCTGTCACTTCAAAAAAAAAAAAACAAAAAAACCAGAAGAACTCTTAGGTTTATATCTGTTCATTGTAAAGAACAAAGATACAAGTGTATACTTCACGGGATGATGACAATAAACAGAAATAATTCTAATACCATTCCAGTACTCATGAAGCTATGTGAGCATTTTCTTGTTTAATGTAGGTGTGTAAAAACATTATTCTCCATGATTCCCTAAGCTCAAAGATAGAATGTTTCTTATCTCCAAAGAAAACATTCCATAGAGATAAAAATGACTACTTCAATCAGTAAGGGAAATGGTCTAAGATGCAAATTTAGGATCTGTATACAGATAATTCCCATTAGTTCAAGGATGTACACACCCAGGCCACTGATTTAGAGAAAAAAAAGACAACAGTTTTATCAAAATCCAGATCGGTTTGTCACAAAAAAACTATGAATTTGACCAGCAAATGACTGCTAGATTTCTGTAGAATTTAGATTTTAAACAACAAAAGTGACTTCACATACAATATGTTTGAGGTGAGATCTTCAGAGAATGGGGATGACGAAAGCCACATTCACCAACACCTGGTTTGTATGGGCTGCCTTGCACTGAATGTTGTGCAGGAGACATCAGCTCCGAGTCTGCACATTTTATACTTCATTTTCTAAGACCCATCACAGAGACTGATGTGTATTTGACACTGTGCAGAAACCCTGCCTCCAGCATAAAGATTAAATGATGGCCCATGGCTCACACTTCCCTAAGAAGGAGACCCCAGATTCTATATCTACACCAGGCTGAAGAGACGTGTACTCATACTTCTACTCCTCCATGGAAGCCTCCAGCCACCAACCTAAGGACTAAAATACACAAGGTGAAAACACAGTTTGGATTAATACATGACAAATACTAAAAGATTCTGGAGTACAAACGAAGGTGAAGCATGGCTTCATATCTTACTGCTGAATGCCTTCATGTGTACAAGGGAGGGTGTCCTCCCTCAGTTTGTTTTGCATTTCATGTGCAAGTCACTGTACCCCCAAGAACTCAGAACACAAGTTAGCTTGTCCAGTATAGCCCTCTATTTCAGCAAAGAACACAGCCAAGGACATTTTCACCCACTATTCATACTGGAAGCAACATGCTAAAGCAAAGACCTGCTTGAGCTTCTTTGGTGAAGAAAGTGTGTTTCCAAATTAATTTTCCTATCTAGATTCCTACTTCTACATAACTGTATCTGAAATATGTCTTCATTTTTGTCATCTGATCTTCTCTTCCAAAGAGAATGACTGGTTCCAAAAAACATTCTGGCTGTTTTAAGCCAGTGCTGTATTTCAGAATTACCTATTTGGCAAAAGAGGTGAGACTCCTCTCAGGATATGTTCTGTTCGCTGTCTACATGTTTGTACTTAAAATGCGAAGGAATTAACAACAGGGCTACGTCCATGCCAAGTCACCAGTTCTTCCAGGAGCCCATGGTGCAAAATTCCTGATCCTTGGGTAAAATGGTCTTTTGCTAAAGCACTAAAAATCATACAATGTGTGCTCTTTTTCCTCTGTAGCTCTACTCCCATCCTAAATACTACCTATATTAAAATCAGCAGCATTTTACATAGGGAGGGATGGTCTTGAAAGGAAATCTGACTTTGTTCTTACCAGAACTAATACACCATAACATCAGGACATTACCCAGAGACTGGGGAGGAGTTAAAACACCTCTCAAAACCCCTATTAGAAACACACTTCACCCCTTCAAAGATTGTGCACTGGCCACTCTGCTCACATCCTATTCACACGCCGATATCATAACCTGTATGTTATTACACAGACTCCAATACTAGTAAGAAAAAGGCAGTGTCAAAAGTTAAAGCAATCTAACAACTACTCCAAACCAAGCTGCACATGCTCATATCACAGTAGAGCAAAGGAAGTGTTTGTGTAATTTGTCTGTGTACATTGTACATACACTATTTCCCTGACACTGAATGCTTCCATAAACAAGATCTATCTATTCAAGCATCCATCACCACTTGTTACAATAACCATTTTTATAAGGGACCATAGAAACACTGCCATGGCACACACATCCTTCAGTTCTTGAAGTAAATCATCAGGCTCTTATCTTTGTGATTTCTACTGAAAGTTCACAGCTGAAAGATTCCTCATGAATTAGCAGGACAGGACATTGTGAGCATTTGTGCCCTATTCCAAAAGTTAGCCTCAGTTGTTTCCTCATTATATAATAATAATGAGGATTGAGCTAAAAGTCCAGCCAACGTGTTGTAGACCAGATTTTTCTAACCCAACATGCACCACTGGCAGGGAACTGGCAGGGAAGTTAACCACAGATGGTAGCCAGAACTTGGAGAACATATTCAACATAATAGAATAATTATTTGACAGCACTCTAGTGTCTCAGAAGCAGTATCCATTTGTCTTTCATTATCTAAGGTTCACTCTTTCTTACTAGCAATTTAAACAAGTTGAAATGAAGACTTTCTGACTATAGCTTTATCATCATAGGGAACACAGCAAGTAAACTACAGCAGTATACAAACATCCCAGCTTTGCTATGGGCAGCAACAGGTGGGCTGCATAAGTAAATGTCACAAAGATTTTTTTCCCCCCCCTCTTCCATCACATGATAATAAATATAAATACCATGCAAAGATCTAGTTCTTTAAATACACCTCTTGGTAGAGTGTTCCCAGACACCTTCTTTTGGATAGCAAAATAGAGAAAGGCAAAATAGACAAAGCACTGAAATACCACAGAAAGGCAACATTTGATTAATACAAAATCCTACTACAGTTAAATGGACAGTTTGACTATAAAGGACTAAAAGCAGAGGTTAGAATGGTATGAAAGAGGTCTTCTATATGTAGATAAGAAGATGTAAATAATGTCGATATTCTAACACATTTTCAGTTGATGGCCTGAGTGTCTAAGGTTTCAGAGAAGAGTTTGCAGAAAGCTAAATGCAATCAAAAAAGCTAAAGCAAGTCCAATAACTGCACCCTTCCTCCCTTTGGCTCAGAGAAAGAGCTGATCACCAGCCCAGGGGCTTCCTTCAACACCAGCTTTACCAATATAAGCATCACTGATGCTCACAAACTGGGTGCTAGCCTCACTCTACCCAGTCACGTGAAACTGATGGCACATGAGGCTCAAAGTCTCTTTTTAGTTTACCAGCAAACCCCAGCAACCAAGATGCTCACACACATGGGCACTGAAATGGAAGTAGGGGTAGAAGAATTCACCCAGGTGAATGAAATAGAGGAGGTTGAACTTTTATGACAGAGTTTACAGGTGACTCTTGTGGGGACTTCCAGAATTTTTTCTTTCCTATTGACTTTTCCTTGGTGGTAGAATTGCAGCAGTCCCAGATGTTCAAAGTTACATAGCAATGAAGATCACGTTGGTGAGATAGTGTCAAAGCGATAAATGCCAGTACAAACATTAATCACAAAAACCATCAAAAGTAGAAATTCTAGCCTCAGTATCTACTGCTTCTCATGGAAGTAGAAAAGAGGAAAAGACACAAAGGAAAAGAGTTAGAAGAGAGCAATAACTCTGGGCAACTTCACTGAAGAGAAGCAGCATCTTTCTTCTCAGGGAGAGCAACCAGGTCTTGGTGCTTCAGGAGGAATAAGGAGGAAGCAGTCGCTGTCTTCTGTTCTCCACTTCTCCAGACTCACAGGCAAAACAGGAAACTGTGGCCCAACTCATACTGCTTCAGCCAAAGTATGATTTGGCACATACAGAAATTATATAAAGTAGCAACACTGTCCTAAGCAAGGAGTTGGACATGCACTGATGTATTTTGCGGAAGCAGACATCAGTGGCAAATCTCATATTCAGAGAGATGTTAGAAAGAGAAGTAGTGCCTTCTGCAGTCAAAGAAGCAACTGGGAAATAGAGTGGCCTTCACATCCCAAACACTTTTTCAAGGTGAGGCCCTAGTCCATCAAAGGTAACTACCAGAATCTCTCTCTGATTAGACCACAAAACACAGTGGAAGTGCAGCAACAACAGCAGAACAGCAAGACCCCATACTGGAGCAAATGAGGATTTGATCTAATGCAACAGCCAAAGAAACTGCTTACCTTCAGAAAACTTCAGGCATAGAGGAATCTCCAACAAGATACCCTTCCCTCCACTGCCAACCCTTAAATGAGGTCTGGGAGGGGGTGGTTCCTGGCTCTATCCCTTCTGGTCACTCGGGTTCATTGCATGCACCTGAGCTCCCCTGCGTTGGCCCTGCCTTCCACCAGTGCTCAAACACTGCTTCGCATCATGACTTAGCATTTCTGCAACAGACAAACTGAGGAAAAAGCCTCCAATAGTCTTGGTCTTTGAATTTTAAATTGGTATTAGTTAATTTGAGCTCAGATCACACTGAAAAACAGGATTTCACTACAGATAGCTGTGGCCAGCTAGGTATATAAGTGACATTCACAGGGCCAGATTACTGCTTCACACCCTGTGGCTGTTTGCTTTTTTCCCTAAACCAATGAGAACAATTTGCTTGTTAAACATACTGTTAGATTTTATGCCCTAAAATCCTTACAAATAACAGGACTTGTTATGACTTTGTTATGAAATTCTGTTTCAGCCACTTAAACAGGTACTTAACTTTAAGTACCAGACAGTCCCAGAAGACCACAGTAAATGGTAGCAGCCTGTTGTCTTCTCCCTAGGCCTGTTTACCAGGCAGTATGGATAGACATGATCTGCACCTGTGTTGCAATAAATTCAGTGTCAACTCAAGCTCAGCTGCCACAGGAAGTGTCAGGATACTCTTAGAAACATAACTTCTTGTTGAAGTTTTTTGCTGAATGAGAGTGTTCTCTGCATTGTGCACACGTGGATAACTGCCTAATTCTAGCACAACTTTATTTCTCTGCCATGCAAATCTCACATTCATCTGAGTCATTCTGCTTAATTATTGGACCTACTTTTCATCATTCATTCATTAACGTGCTGGCCAAACAAAACTGAAAGCAACAACAGGATCACGAGTGAGCTTTGTGAAAGTAACAGTTCTCCCTTATCACAGCAAAATTTGTCAGCCCTGTAACTCCTGCCTGGGAGCGGGGAACAGGCCCATTCAGCACAGAGCTACCTATGGAATAACTCAGCTGTTCATGCTCCTTGCTATGTTGATACACAGAGATACCTACAATGCAAATGCTTACAGTAATTTTGCGTACTTTATATGAAATAAATATCACAAGTAAACTCTAATACTCAGAACTGAATAGCATACAATATTAGGGACCAAGTTACATTTACCAATGCACAAGCATTAATCCTATGAACTCAGTTTAATTTCTTAGTATGCAAGCTTCAGAAATTGCTAGCTAAACTACGCTTCAAGAAGCCATAATAAATGATGGTCATGCCAAAATCTAAGAAGAAACAAAAACACAAACATTCTTAAAATCATTAAGGTTGGAAAAACCCTCTAAGATCATTAAGTCCAACCATCAACCCATCACCACCATCATCCCTTGAAATGACACACAGCTTTTAACAGACAGTAATAATATTGAGGATTCATGAAATTCATTAACACCATCTAATAATAAATATCATCTGGAACATAGGTCTTATGTTCTAAACAAATTCAAAATCAGAGCAGTAGCAACAGCACATTGTCCACACATACCAAAAACAGAGACAGCAAGAGCCTGTACCTGGACCAGAGCTGCAATCGCTTAGAACAAAGTGAGAATGGGGTAGATTTACTGTCAAAGGGGAAGAGATGGAGAGAAGAGGGCCTTGTCACAGCTCCAGTTATAGTTGTTGTTGCAGAACAGTTTGGAGGAATAGCTCAGACTCTGTAGCCTGCTCTTGCCAGCATGATCCTCAAAAATGGACAGCAATCCAAAAGGCAGCAATAGCATACAGGAGCACTGCTAACAACAGCAGATTACAGGCTGTGCTGCTCCATGTCTGTGCAGGACAGAAATTTTGCTGCGCCAAAGGCACACGTGGCAGTTTGTTCTCTATATCCTAACATAAATACTTCTGCCAAGAATTTTTCAGTGAGGAAGTAAGTGATTGACAAGTATATCTTTTTTCAGAAAAGGAAAGATCTCACACACTCAATACTCTGACTCAACATCATCTTGCACTACTGAATAATAAATTCTGGATCCTGCCCTGGAAATTTGCTTATGCTTTAGATCATGGCACTTTTCTCATCCTGCAAACAGGTTCGTGAAGAGGATCTTCCTAACAACAACTCCTTCTCATGGATCAGGCTATCTAGCAGGTCCTCTTGTCTGTAGTTGTGATACACTTTCAGGAAAGCCAGAATGGTGATTCCCAGCCAAGTCAGCCAGGCAGCCCACAGACCAAACTAGAGAAGAAAGGAAATGATAACAATGTCAGTAGTGTTTCATAAAGATAAAATCAAACATCCAAGATCAAAATCTCACCCAAACCAAGGGCCATGGAGTCACTGCAAGTTATTCTTTGTGAGGTTCTGGTCCTACTGCTCCTCAACCCTGCCTAGTTATTTTCAGCTTAAAAGGAAAAAAAACAAAAACAACCAAACAATATGTTTTTTCAGGAAAACTGAAACAAAAACGTACTCAGTACAACAATGAAGAACTCTGTATAATTAACTTTCAGCTGCTGAATTTCCCAAGTATGTGACATTCTGGCTGTCTTAAAATTCTTGAGATTATTTCTCTTTGGTTATCATATGCTTTAAGATATTTTCCAGAACTTTTTTCTTGAATCCTTTGAACATCATGCTATCCGTGGAGAAGTATAAATTTTAAGGCATTTCTATTCAGAATGTTGTTGAGAAAATACTATGAATTGAATGGTTACATTGTGGGATAATTAGTTCACAATAGCATAAATTCAGAAAAAAAAATAAACTTCATCCAACACTCCCAAGTGCCTGGTGGCTCATACATGCATGGCATTTGAGATCTGTTCTTAAAGCCTCGGATCTGCAGTAAGTTGCTAACTTAGTCTCTCTTGTTTAACTGTGCAAATAACTACACTTCTACTGATTGAGGTACTGCACTGTTGGCCTCCCCTATCTCAGAGGATGCTTGTTTGTAGTAAAGTTTTCTGGCAGAAATTCCATTCTAATTTCATTATGCCTTCAACAACAACAGGAAAAAAAAAAAAAAAAGCAGCAACAGATGAATTGAATCCTTGTATTTCAGCTTTGACATAATGCAGTTTTTATTTTTAAGAAAAGTGACAATTTGAACACTTCTAGACAGCAGGACAGCTGTTTATTCTAATAGCCAGTTTAGGTAAACAAGGGCCACAATTATGTAAATGGAGGTGTATGGTCCTATATGTCTTATGTACTTTAGAATGTCTCCTAAGTATCTCTGCTCATTCATACCATTATCTCAGTTCATGAGTAAATAATATTTTTGAATTATTCTTGGAAACAATATTCTCATCTGGGTTTATAAGACCAAATACAGAGACTTGGAAGCTTTCCATTTATTTCCTAAGCACCATGTCATTAATGAGATATATTCAAATATCTTGTACTGTGGTTTCCTCAGTGTACCTGATATGAAGGTATCTACATGGGCTTAACCAAATTTGGGGTTCAGGGTATCTCTGACAAAGAGAAAGCTCACAGCCCCACAGTCTGTGCAGGTCAGCCATTCTGATTCTGATTTCATTCCTGACAGCAGTGTAGAGCTCCAGGGCACCAGAGCATTGGAGCCTTTGAAGAGCTCATACTTTGCAGAAACAGTAGATTTTCCATGACGAGTAAGAGTCAAATTTTGACATGCCTGCATTCAAAACTATTTGTTTTGGATAGAAAATGCAAATGTGACCATTCACAATCATGCTGATTCACCACACATGGAAGTCACTGGAAACATTCCCATTGATTTCAGAGGACTGTAGTTCAGCTCCAACAATCCCAGATCAATTGCCAAAGGTAAATGAACTGGAATAGAACCATGACCTAGTCTGACATACCTGTGCAATAGCAAACTGGTCATAGAAAGCAGAGTTTTCTAAGTTCAGTTCAAGATCAATATCCTGTAATTCTTCACAGCTGTCCAAGGAAAGCATTTGGGGATGGGGGAAGAAGAAAGAAAGTTATTTCAGAATCTTCAGACAGGCAAATCAAACATAGAACAAAGAAACATCTGAGTGTTTCCAACAGTCACAATGACAAGTTCTACAAAAATATATATAAGTTGGTGCAGTAACTGGGTTGCTTGCCAATCTTCTCTATAACTAGGGTAAAAAAAAGCGTGTAAATACTTTCTTCTAAAAACAAGGTGTAATTATGTAAGTGATAACATCAATTTTCCATGAAATGGAACTGTAATAGCTGTTAGGAAAACACTATACTTAAAACCCTGTTCTCCCACTCCCCAAGTGCCTCCCACTTATATGCATCAGCCCAGCTCATCTGCTTCACCCCTCAATGAAACAAATTGTATGAGCCTCCATTACCTTTTGACATCATCAGGGAAAGCCTCAGAAGAAGGGATTGTATGGGTGTTTTTGTTTCGGATGCTCCAGCAAGGAGACGGAACTCTGATGGTAAGATAGAGGCTGCCTATAGATTTTACAAATAACTTGGACTGTTACTGATGTGATAAAATTCCCAGGATTTTGAGGTTGTCTTTCTATCTCTTGCTTGATTTCTGCAGCCTCTTCTCTGTCCTTTTCAGTGCTGTCGGTCATCTTGGGTTCTTATCCGAATATTCGATTAGACGCTTTTTGTAATTGAATTTTTAACCGAATATTCGAACAATTCGATTAATCGTTGCAGCCCTAAACAGAACATTTGCTATGGCACTTTACAACATATGACAATGTGCAATATTATTGTATGCTTTAAGTAGTATACTTATTCAATATCATATGACATAAAATTTCAGCCTTTTCTTTCTTTTTATTGTCAAGACCCTGTCGCCCAGTCCCCTGCCCTACTCATAGCACCACTCTCCCCACTTCAAGTATTTCCAAATCCAGATCTCCTTTGTAAGTGAAACTTTTTGGTCTTCTTTTGCATGTGTTCATGACTCAACAAGAGACCATGAAACATCACAGAAACCATACTTTGTTTTGTGGGGAACTAAAAGCAACAAACCTTGGTTTTCTAGCTTTGTTCCAAATGAAATGAATCTGGAGTTCCCTATTTTTCTCTTTGATTACCTTGCACGTAATAACTACAGTTTGTAACGACACCATTCATTTGTGCATATACAAAAAATAAAAAGAAGAAAATATATTCTTTAGTACTAACCTATTTGGCATGCTTCCTTTTTCAGTAATTGCATCACACCACATGTTAAATCCTACGCTCACTATAGTGCTAGCAATAAATGTGATAAACACCACAAAGGCGCTGATCAGCAGATTCAGGAAGGCATAAAAGAAAGAGCTGTAATAAAAGGGAAGAAAAATGTAACTCATAAACATCTGAAACACTACATCAGCAGTCTCTCTAAGCGGCATATAGCAGGCAAAAAGATATCAGTTTCCATTTGAAACGCTTATGCTTTAATTAAGACAACCTAATACATTGAAAATCTATGGATTATGATTTTGAGTCAGATTATCCTCACTTTTAAGCTTCTTTGATTTTTTTTCCATAAGAGGATGTGGCTCTAAATCATAAAGAGTAAGTGGCAATTGTTCATACACAGAATGGCCTTCATTAGCTGTAATGATGAAAATCACCATTGTTAAAATAAATGCCATTAGCTCAAATTATGCAGCAACTGGAGTTTAAATTATTTCATGACCAAAATGATAATTGGGACAAAAATTGCCTAGGAGAGAGAAACTAAAAATAAAAATAAAACAACAGTACTGATAGCTATAATCATTTTAAGCAATGTAACACAAGCTACTGGTATCATAGGACACGAATCTCAGTTTTATGGGCAATTTGCAGAGCAGGCCAGCTTCTCTTGGGATATCTCTGACTTCGATGTCAATACATTATTTTTGCCAGCCAGATGTTAGATTACGCCAACCCCATTAGTCTGTGCAACCAGGGCCTGCCCAAAGCATGTGCTGCAAGGTATGTGAAGACGCTCAGTGTGGTGCCATGAGGAATTGCTCACCCATCTTCCAGTCTCATGGGCAGTCTTCGTCATGACTGGGTTACGCTGAAAGAGGATCACTTTGCTACCTAACTCTCCTCAGTTCTCCTAGGCAGCCTGGTCTGGTGGTTGGGAACCCTGCCCATGACAGGGGGGTTGAAACAAAATGATCTTTGAGGTCCTTTTCAACCCAGGCCATTCTATGATTCCATGATTCTACGATGAGTTCTAGGTAATGAAAACTTTCTAATCCTTTTCTCATTCTTCTGACCAAACTGTTTGCTACTTGAAGCTGCTAAATGACATTTGCAAAGTCTCACTGTTGAAAAACTGAACACCTATTCTAAGTTGCAGAAAGACTAGCAACTCCACAAGAAAAAAGTATTCAATTCAATAAGAATGAATATGACAAACTGCCCACTACTGCCCCTTTCTTTATGCTGGGGATAGAAGGAGTCTACTTACTCCAGGGAATGATACTAATAAAAGCCATTTATTTTCCCTGATTTCTCATTAAATTAAAATCTGAGAGGCATTTTTGAGTTTGTGGTCTTAGGAATATTCTGGGCTGGATCATCTTAATTTCTGGTGGCCAACCCTGCCCATGACAGGGACGGTTGGAACTAGATGGTCTTCGAGGTCCCTTGCAACCCATGCCACTCTGCAGGTTGCACATCGTAAAACATATGTGGCCTCATAAGGACTTATTTAAAATGAGTTGGTCTGGGATGTTTGGTCCTGGATTAATAGGAGCTTTGAAGGAGTTGTCTATGTTCTCTCAAAAGGGCAGTCATGCCATCCCAGCGCTCATACAAAAGAAGTTAAATTAGTCATGTTTCAAATGTGCTCTTACAGATTGTCAGGGGAGCTGGGTTCTGGGACACCCAACTTCTAGATTAATGTTTACATGAATACCATCCTTCCCCTTCAGTTTCACTGGGCTTACAGACAGACCGGCTCACGGCTGCAGTGCCAGGCTCCATAGCAGATGGAGATGGTATGGGCATGCCACAGTTTTGCATGTTCATTGTCACTGCCCTGGTTTCATATCTAACTTAGGCCAGGCTCATGCCAGCCTGAGATACAGAAAAGAGTGGACTTGTACCCTTGAATAAAACCAAGGTTGACACTAGAACTAATAACAGCTTTAGAAAAGGAATGATTATCACTCTTCTTGCTACCTTGCAGCACAGAGGAGGTGCCTCTGACTTTCTGAACAAAGCAGAGCTCAGTGCTGTTGCTGATCTACACTGGAAAAAAACATTGTCATCACCATCACTATAACTGTGCATGAAGATCACTCAGGTCACAGCATCCTGGCAGAGAGATGGGAAAGTCTGAAAAAAAGCTGAAAAAATGTGTCTGGATTCGACTATTGCCAATAGGTGTTTGATGACCAGAGGAAAATGAATTCAAATATACTGTCCATGATTATACTTAGCTATTCTAAGGTAAGTTTTAATATGGAAATAAGTTTTTGTTTTGTACTTCACCCTCGTTGTGGTAAACAAAAAATAGCTTTTCAAGTCCAGCCAGCCACCAATGTGTTCTCCTTCCTTCCTTCCTCCATGCAATTGGATGCTTGAATACACCATAGCACCCACCAGCTGGGTGACCTGGGCCAAGGGCTGTATCAAAGGTAGTAAGACAGGGACCAGAGAGCCAAACACTGTGCACAGCACCACTGATCTGCTGCCTGGAACACTGGGCCCTACTCCTCCTGCAGGGCCTGGTGCATTTCGGTTTGTCTGAAAAGAGAAACAATCCACTGGAGCAGCCGTGCTGCTACACAGCACTCAGCTCTGCTCACTTGTTACCAAGCGATAGCTGCTCTCTGCAATAGTTGCCATATTCACAAGAAAAGCAGAATAAAAATAACAGTGGAACAACCTACCGCTCCCTCCTTCCTTTCACAGACACAGCCACATTGCTTTGAGATTTATCACATACCCAGTATAGGTCTGGGAAAGGCCTCCTCCTTCAAGGATGTGCAGAGGGACCAAGGCAGGCGGTACTTTCCAGCATCACACCATCCCCCTTAGCAACTTCATACCCACCGTGGTTGGCACGGCCAAGTGCTGCACCCAGTCACCAAAGGACAGCAACAAATCTGTCCCCCACCCCATGCCCCTGTGTAGGAGCATCCTCCTGAGGTTGCCCTGTGCACAAGTGGAATACATGTAGGGTGTGTGTGCAGGCAAGGCACCACTTCACCCTAACTCCTTTAGCAGGGCTGTAGATGGTGCAGAGCTCAGTGTTTGGTCCCCAGGCTTCTCCCATCTGCCCCAGTCCACAGGAGGGGTGGGCACCCCTGCCCTCCCCAGGGGTACTTACTCCTCATGCCCTTTGCAGAGGAAGAAGAGGGTCCGCCAGGCCTGCACTGTAGCCAGCAGCAGAGAGAGGAGCCCAGTGAAGATGCTGAAGCGGCAGGCAGCCTCAGGCCCCCACTCCTGCACGGTGAAGCGCTGCCGCTCCACGGTGAGGTTGGCATTGAGCCACATGCCCTCAGTGAAGAGCAGGCATCGGCCATGGAAGTCGTTGCCATTCTCAGACAGCGGCACCACCACGATGAAGCTGAAGAGGAAGGCCAGGAAGTAGCAGATGCACTGAGCAAAGAGGAAATTGCTAAGAGCCATGTCCGCAGCTCCTCACAGGCAGAGGGAGGGATGAAGGGAGGGATGCGGGAGGGAGGGATGGCAGAGGGAGGGATGCAGGAAGGAGAGATGCAGGAAGGAGGGATGCAGGAAGGAGGGATGCAGGAAGGAGGATGCTGAGGGGGAGTGATGCAGGGAGGAGGGGGAGGAAGGATGGAGGGATGCAGGGAGGAAGCCTGCAGCAGTAGGGGGTGGGGTGGGAGGATGCGCAGTGCAATGCAATGAAATGCGATGCCTCCTCCAGCACCACGCTGTTGCGGCCGGAGCTGTCCCCACTGTCTGAATGCTGATGGCTTCAGGACTTTTGCTGGGAGGGAGAGCCCTTGCAGGAAATTCCTCTGGGAAATCTGGCAGCTGATGCTCAGAGGTTTAAATTAATCAGTGCCTCCCCTGCGGGGCTGGGTACCACTGGGGCTCTCAGTGATCCTCCTATGACAAAGGGCACTTGTGTCACCTGTGCTTGTGGCTGTGACACACCTCCTCCACTGTAAAAACCTGCCTCATCCTAGCTGCTGGCTCCCCGAAGAATCTAGCCCTTTTTTCCTAAAAATATGACTAAAACATGCCTGGGACACTCTGTAGACATCGAACATACACCCCTGCACTTCTGTCCCAGAGTGTGTGAAAGACTCTAGAGTACACAGTGGGTGGGGGCAATGTCCCATCATCTCTTGGATCCCACTTCTCTGTTTCCCCAAATCCACAGCTGAACCCAAACAACTATCAAACAACATGGCAATAAGGGTCAGGGTGTACAGGTCCCCACCCCAGGACCAACAGATGGAGTGTTTTTGGTAACCCAGCTGGTCACCCCCATACAAGGCATTGCAAGGGCTCACCATAAGCAGGATAACTTTTGTTGAGAATGGTTGTCCTGCACTCAAGCTGAACATTAAGCCAAGATTAGACCAGCCCTGGCTCTGGACACAGCAAAGACGCTTGTCAGAGACAGTCACTGCTCACTTGATTCCCAGGATCAGGGACCACTGTGCTCTGCAGTGCCAATTACATTGCATATAGGATTTCATGCTTGTGTTTTCCACTGGGCAGAAAGCATTTATTTTTCCATGCTGTGAAGAGTTTACAGTCTTGGGGCAGAGGCTTCTGGGATTCTTCCTGAAACCATTATTCCAGCTTCATTGCAATTTATTTCCAATGCACATTGTCATGAAATTCTGTTCTATCCATACAAGGAAAGGTGATTTTTGTGCAGAACCTGCTTCTGGAAGAAAGCTTTTGTCTGTCATACAGCTGTTCAGACCATTTTTCAGATTCCTACACAATCCTGATCACCAAAAATTGTATTGCAATTATACAAGTTGAGTTATAGAGAGCTGGCCTGACCCTGTGGGGATAGACATGCACTCATAGCAGAGATTTTGCTGATATTTCAGTCTGGTAGTAAAGAGGAAAGTTTATTGCACTTAACCTTAATTCCAGGCAGTGCTGGGTTCCCAAAGGGTTTTGTTCTTTGTCTGGAAGGAAATCAGACCTGGACTGAGCTGGAAAACTATTTTCTTTGAAACTTGATACATCAGATTTGCCAGATAATGTTGTCTGAAGTTAACTTGGGAGGTCAACAGCACCATAAAAGCTTAGTTACTGCTTGCAGTGGAGCCCACAGAAGGAGCCAGCAGATGCCAAGGGCACTTTGCCTCTGGCAAACCCAGTGTTCAAATCTCAGCACCAGCAACCATAGAGCACTGCTACAGGGGTGAAACCTGAGGGTTGCTTGCAAAGCACACAAAGTTGTCCTTGCTGATCAACACGTTCAAGCTAGCATTTAATGGGGAGCTTTGGAAAATGCAGCTAGACATTTGCAAATGTTAACAGACATGTAAAACACAACTGCTTGAAGTAGGTTGACAGCCACTGAAGCACAGTGCTTGGTCAGCTGGAGCAGCCACACACCGGAGAGTGCACACAGGTGGAAATTAAACTTGTCATTTGCAACTCATTTGGCAGCTGCCTGAATCCCTCATACTCTACTCTCGTGTAAATCTTGGGAAAAAAAAAAAAAAAAGACAGTAGTGGAATAAATGTGGTGGTGTTTTATAAAAAAGACTTAAATAGGCATTGTGTCCTTAAATGGGGCAATTAAGGAAGGAAGGCACAAGATAAAGTGAATAATCATTCATTCCTTCTTGTGTCACCTGTAGTAGAGTACAGCAAACAAAGTAATGAAGCAGAAATTTTAGAAGAGAAAAAAAGATATGTATTTTTCACACAGCACGTAATGAATCGGTGGTACTCATCATAGGACACTGAAGAGGCCAGAAATAGATCAGATCCCAGGCAAGATGGCTTTTTGGTCTTACCCACTATGGCCGTTTCAGGTTCTCATTGCCGTGGCTGACATTAATACTACATTAATAGTCTGCTGTTTTAGCATTGCCACCCGTGCAGGGAACACTGGTCACAACAACAAAACAGGCTGTGACATCAATGGCTGTTGCTATTATGACTAGTTTTGAGATTGTACTCAGTGAGTGGTGGTCAATGGATCAAAGTTTGCATGGAGATCAGTGATGAGTGATGTCCCTCAGTACTGGACAGCACTGGAACCAGTGCTCTTTAACATCTTCGTCAATGATATTGAGAGTGAGATTGAGTGTACTTGCAGCAAGTTTGTGGACAGTGCCGAGCTGTGTGGTGTGGTCAACACATCTAAGTGATAGGGTATCATCCAGAGGAACATAGACTGGCTAGAGCAGTAAGCACAGGAGAACCTCATGAGGTTCAACATAGACAGGGACAGACTCTTTAGCAGCGTTTGTTGTGATAGAACAGTGGGAAATGGTTTCAAACTAAAAGAGGGGAAATTCAGACTGGATATAAGAAAGAAGTATTTTATAACTACTATGTAACCTCTGGCACAGGTTGCCCAGAGAGGTGGGGGATGCTGGCTCTGAGCATCTGATGGAGCTGTAGGTGGCTCTGTTCATTGCATGGAGGTTGGACCAGATGACATTTAATGGTCCCTTCCAATTCAAACAATTATTTGATTCTATGATTTCTATCTCTGTGACAGGTAGAAAAATAATCTGGGTGCATTGACATGAGATGTACCAGATTTACCCACATCCCCTTCATCCCTGTATCTCCTTCCAGTCATCAGGCTCACCCTCCATGGATCAAGTAGCACTGCAGAGTTGGGCTGCTGCAGAATGACAGATAAGGACTGTGGTTCTGACTGCTGCTCCATGCTCCCTCTCAAGTCATTAATTATTCCATCTGACATGAGCAGTGCTCTCAAGCTGATATTTTAGTGATGAACTTCCCCTCCTCCTGGTAGCTCATTAGGACATGTTTTATTATGGGAAAATTTGCTGAGAAAGTAATTATTCAGGCAAAAACACTGTTGTGAGAAACTCTATTTATATATTTGCTTTACTGTGGATAGATTATTTTTGTGCTCTAAGAAAAAATAATGGCTACATGTTTAAGAAGGGGCTACCATCCTGATACCAGCAATGTGCTGTTTACTGATAGAGTGGAGGCACATAGTCACAGCAATATCTGTGCAGAGGGATGCCCAGGGAGCAGTACATCTATATTTTAGGCAGAGTACAACAGTCCAAACAGCTGCTTTTGTGACAGCCCTTCAGTCACCCAAAGGCAACTTCTCCCTGATTTACTTTAGCTCAAATGCCTGCCTCAGTCCCTTTAACCAAATACTTTAGCAAAATGCAGTTTGACCATTAAATGCAGCAAAGCACCTTCTGGCTCTGGAGTCTGTTTTATTCAGACTCTGTGATCTGTTTTATTATTATATTAATCTATTATTATTTTTCCACAAGCCTTGACCTATGGTATTTTTTCTCTGAGACTAATGGAAAGGATCAGGCATCCTGCATATCCTCTGATAGTGGTTACTCTAAGTGCCACTCTTTGGGAGGGGTTACTTATGGTAATCACTGTCTTCCAAGAAGGTGACTGCCACTAGTTCAGAGGCATTATAAACAAAGCACCCAACTGTCAGCCACTTGTCACATCTGCATTTCTTTACAGCTACTACAGCTTCATGAATCTCTCAGGGCATCTCATCTGGGAACATCTTGACATTGTGCTTTTTTTTTTTTTTTTTGGTGCAAATAGTTCTTTATGTGCCTCCATTTCACTCAGATAGCTGTCTTGACTACATGGAGGTTATGTGCCCAGAAGGTGCCATGTTGACAGGCATTAATGGAGCAGTTACCAGGAAACAACTGAATGTCATTAATGTGTCCATAAGCCATAGCCTCTGTATTTTGATACCCAATGGAAAATGAACATATTCAAGTCTGAAATGGAAAACTCTAGAATGTGGCTAAAATATAAACTGAAAAAAAAAAAGGAGAGGAGAGGAGAGGAGAGGAGAGGAGAGGAGAGGAGAGGAGAGGAGAGGAGAGGAGAGGAGAGGAGAGGAGAGGAGAGGAGAGGAGAGGAGAGGAGAGGAGAGGAGAGGAGAGGAGAGGAGAGGAGAGGAGAGGAGAGGAGAGGAGAGGAGAGGAGAGTTGCTTGAGGTTTTCAAAGCATTGTTAACCCTAAGCTCTGAGTGACTGACCCACGCCAGACTTCACACAGCATTTGTGTGTCTAAAAATATGTTCAGAAAGCATGGGAGGCTTCTTAAAAGAATGAGAGGAATGAAAGGAAGGAAAAACACAACAGAAGAGAGATCAGCAAATTAAGAGCCTGCAAAGTCTAAGCAATCAAAATCCAGCCAGAGGGTGAATGTACCTCTGCCACACTATAGATTAAATGGGGTCATTACAAATTACATCAATATCTGACATCTGTAGCTTAACATGTGACTGCCAAAGACTGCAATATCATCAGATCTAGGAGTGAAGCAGCCACTGAGGCCTTGTGCTTCCAAACAGTCCTGCATCTGCTCAGACCTTTGCACCTGTCTGTGTTTCTGCATCATTCATCACCCAAAAGCCTATACTGTGCTGAGACTTCTGAAAATGCTGTTCTGTTTTTCTTCCCAAAGAGCAGTCAAATGTTTTCCAGCGCTAACATGGTTTCAAAAAAGAACTTCAGCATTTGTTGGTTTTAGTTTTCTTTGTAAATCTATTTTTATGTGCAGCTCATTTGTTCCTTAAGCTCCAGTCATTTCCCTGAGAAATTCTCAAGGTCAGTAACCAGGAGTTCATCACAAAGACAGCTGGAAAACAGCAAACAAAATCCTTCTGTGA